CAGGCCTCCTTATTTCTTGAGATACAACAACATTAACATGAGACACAACAATATTAAAATTAGGTCAATTAATAACCCTGCAATGGCCTCTTAGTGTTCAAATGAAAGGAAGAGCAGCACATCTCTCACTTTAAATCAAAAGTAGAAATGATTAAACTTAGGGAGGAAGGCCTGTTGAAAGTCAAGATAGGCTGAAGGCTAGGCCTCTTGTACCAATCACCTAGTTGAGAATGCAAACTAAAAGTTCTTGAAGGAAATTAAAAGTGCGATTCCAGTGAATGCACAGAAATAATAAGAAAGCAAAATGGCCTTATTGCCAATATGGAAAAAGCTTTAGTGATCTGGACAGAAGATCGAACCAGCCACAACATTCCTATAACCCAAAGCCTAATCCAGAGCAAAGACCTAACTCTTCAATTCTGTGAATGCTGAGAGAGGTGAGGAAACTGCATAAGTTTGAAGCTAGCAGAGATTGGTTCATAAGGTTTAAGGAAAGAAGTCATCTTCATAACATAAAAGTGCAAGGTAAAGCAGCAAGTGCTGATGAGAACCTGTGGCAAGTTATCCAGAATATCTAGCTAGGATAACTGATAAAGATAACTACACCAAACAATTGATTTTCAATGTAGAAGAAACAGCCTTATATTGGAAGATGCTATCCAGGACTTCCATAGATGGAGAGTAGAAGTCAATGCCTGGCTCCAAAGCTTCAAAGGACACTGACTCTTTTGGTAGGGGTTAATGCAGCTGGTAACTTTAAGTTGAAGCCAATGGTCATTTACCATTCTGAAAACCCTAGGGCCCTTAAGAATTATGCTAAATGTACTCTGTCTGTGCTCTAGAAACAAAACAATGCCTGGATGACAGCACATCTGTTTACAGCATGGTTTAATGAATATTTTAAACTCACTGTTCAGACTCACTATTCAGAAAGAATGATTTTTTTTCCAAAACATTACTGCTCATTGCCAATACACCTAGTCACCTAAGAGCTCTGATGGAGATACACAAGGAGGTGAATATTGTTTTCATGCCTAGTAACACAACATCCATTCTGCAGCCCATGGATCAAGGAGTAATTTCAACTTTCAAGTCTTATTATTTAAGAAATACATTTTTAAGTCTATAGCTGCCATATATAGTGATTCCTGTAGTTGATCTGGGCAAATTAAATTGAAAACCTTGTAGAAAGGATTCGCCATTCTAGATGCTATTAAGAACATTCATGATTCACAGGAGGTCAAAATGTCAACATTAAAAGGAATTGGAAGATGTTGATTCCAACCCAAACGGATGATTTTAAGGGGTTCAGTGGAGCAAGTAACTGGAGATGTGTTGGAAATAGCAAGAAAACTAGAATTAGAAGTGGTGTCTAAAGATGTGACTGATTTGCTGCAATTTCATGATAGAACTTGAACAAATGAGGAGTTGCTTGCTATGAATGAGCAGAGAAAGTGGTTTCTTGAGAAGGAATCTACTCCTGGTGAAGATGTTGTGAACACTGTTGAAATGACAAGAAAGGATTTAGAATATTCATGAAATTAGCTGATAAAATAGTTACAAGGATTGAGAGGACTGACTCTAATTTTAAAAGAAGTACCATGAGTAAAATGCTATCAAACAGAAATTGCCACAGCCACTCCAGCCCGCAGCACACACCACCCTGATCAGTCAGTAGACATCAATATCAAGGCAAGATCCTCTACCAGCAAAAAGATTCCAACTCACAGAAAGCTCAAATGATTGTTAGCATTTTTTAGCGATAAAGTATTTTTAAATTATGTATGTATATTGGTATGTATATTGGTTTTTTAGATATAATGTTATCACACACTTAAACAACTATAGTGTAATGTAAACATAACTTTTATATGCACTGGGAAACCAAAAACTTGTATGAACCACTTTATTGCGATATTTGCTTCATTGTAGTGGTCTGGAACCAAATCCACAGTATCTCTGAGGTATGCCTATGTATCTATCCACATATATATATATGAATGACATATATACTTTGTATATTTTTATATATATACTTACATATGATTTATCATCTATCTACTTATATAGTATTATCACATCCCTTTTCAAAAGCCCTGTAATTTACCACTGACTACAGGATACAATAATGCAAAGTATTCAGCACTCTCAGACCTCAGTCCCTCTCACTACAGCCCATTTATGCTGTGATTCTCTCCACTGCCAGAATACTTCAGGTCCTGTGCACCCTGGCAAATACTGCTCACTCTGGTTACATCCTTCTTCCCACAGCCACCACTTTTCTACCTGAATTGATTTGCTGTCTCACCCTTCACTTTCACATCTGCCCCACAACTCCCCACCCTCCACCACCTCCACACTGAACTTCTACAACCACCAAAATAAAATAAGATCAGGACTTAGGTATTCTAACTACTACACAGGATGACAGGGAAGAGCTCCAAATGAGAGCACAGACACATTAAATCATCCCATTGAGGAACTATTCTTCAAAATTTGGAGAACTTTCTGCTCAGTAACATGCATGCAGTTGCTCAGTGAGTTTGCTAAATCAACAATTGGAAACCCATTCAAATAAAGCAAATTTATTAAAAAACCACACACACAGGCCGGGCGCGGTGGCTCACGCCTGTAATCCTAGCACTTTGGGAGGCCGAGGCGGGCGGATTGCTCAAGGTCAGGAGTTCGAAACCAGCCTGAGCGAGACCCCGTCTCTACCAAAAATAGAAATAAATTAATTGACCAACTAAAAATATATATATACAAAAAATTAGCCGGGCATAGTGGCGTATGCCTGTAGTCCCAGCTACTTGGGAGGCTGAGGCAGTAGGATCGCTGAGCCCAGGAGATTGAGGTTGCTGTGAGCCAGGCTGACGCCACGGTACTCACTCTAGCCTGGGCATCAAAGTGAGACTCTGCCTCAAAAAAAAAAAAAAAAACAAAAAAAACACACACACACAATTTTACACAACTCTTTACTACCTGCAACCACTAACACCTAGCCTTGTTCCTGATGTGGACCATGGAATAATTATGAGCCAATTCTGGCCACTCTTGAGGCATGAGAAAGCCAAACCCAACACAGGCAGTGGACGCCCCGCTTTGGGCTCCACAGGTCAGTCTCTGAGACTTTCCCTCCCCATCAGCCAGTGTCCTTGGACATGTGAAAGCAGTCTAACTGACCTTAGGGAAAAATACCCATTTTTTTTTTTTTTTTTTTTGAGACAGAGTCTCACTTTGTTGTCCAGCTAGAGTGAGTGCCGTGGCGTCAGCCTAGCTCACAGCAACCTCAAACTCCTGGGCTCAAGCGATCCTCCTGCCTCAGCCTCCCGAGTAGCTGGGACTACAGGCATGCGCCACCATGCCCGGCTAATTTTTTATATATATATCAGTTGGCCAATTAATTTCTATTTATAGTAGAGACGGGGTCTCGCTCTTGCTCAGGCTGGTATTGAACTCCTGACCTTGAGCAATCCGCCGCCTCGGCCTCCCAAGAGCTAGGATTACAGGCGTGAGCCACCGCGCCCGGCCAAAAATACCCATTTTTATCATGAAACATAATATTCACCTGCCCAAGCAAAAATCAGAAAAACTATGTTAGATGACAAGAGCTGAAGACACTAGTTCAAAATCCTCTTCAAGACATTTTTGAGAAATCTTTGTTCATAGAAATAACAATATTACCTCTTAGGAATGCCACTCTCCTGATAGGTCTGATTTGAAATTAATTTCTAGTGATAAGGGGACAGTACAGAAACTTGCCTCCCCCCCCCCCCAGTGAATTACCTCAGGAAGAACCATTATTCTGGGAGGTACCTGATGCATTTTGCACCTTGTCTCTGCCCTCTTCAAGTTTTCTTACATGGCAACTTAATAAAGACAATAGCTAATACTAACATAGTGCTGCGTCTCAGGCATTCTTCAAAGTACTTCGCATTTATCTCATTTAATTATAATTCTAGAGTCAGATATCTTTGTTCCCACTTTACGGATGAAAACTGAAGATAGCAGTTAACTAACCTAAGACTTGATAATTTACTTTTCCTTAGACAAGCTGGATTGTTCCTCATTATCTATATATAGCATAGAGCCCAAATCACTGAATATTAACAGACTTCAAATTGCTACTCAAACTTCCCATTCCAATTTCTTCTCAACACCCCCTTCCCCAAATCCCCATAACTCTGAATTCCCATCAAACACTTCCCCATCTTTGTGCCTTGCTAAGAACAGATGTGGCATACTAGCAGTCACATTTTGCCTGCAAATGTGTTTTATGGTCTGATTAAACTTGAGACATTTTCATATTAAAAATGAGATTTACAGTTACTGGGATTTTATTTAGAATTTCATCTGAAATAAAGGTCTGAAGCTAGGCCAAAACTATGAATAAAAACAATCAGTTGGAGCAAAGTAGCAGTTGTCCTTATTGGTTAGGGCACACTCTCTCCAGTGTTTCAGTTGCCATCAGTCACACAAAGTATGCCAAATTCCCCTGCTTTCATTACTGACTTGATCCCTAAAGGCCTTTGACACAGTGCCCTAAAACTATCGTTTGCCTACTTAAGCCCCACCTGTCTTTCAAGACTAAGCTCAATTGTCACTGCCTCTTATAAACATTTCCTAAATATTCCAGTTGAACTTGAATTCAACTGGAATATTTGAATTCCCTTAGCATTCTGCTTGTGTGTTACAACACATCACACTCTTCTTTGTAATTAGTGTGTACATGCTTCACTAAGAACTAAGTAGAAACTCTGAGTCAAGGTTAAATGGCCAATTCTGCGATCTTGGGCTATAAAACTGGACATAGCATCCTGTGTTCTAGGATTTGAGCTCTACGTTAAAAAAAAAAAAAAGCTACATTAGTACACCGAATAGGGTAGAGAGAAGTGACTTTACACAAACACACACACACACACACACATTCTATTCCCTATTCACTCCTCATGACCCTTCTGTCTGCCTTCTGCTTACAGAAAAATCATAAGACAACTTCATCGATGTGTTGTTATTTATTTAATAGAAACCAGATTACGTCATTTGTTACTGCGAATAATGAATTAGAGGCAATAATTCAAGAGGGCCCCAGAAAGCTTTTTCATCCACAAAATAACAGAAAGGATAAGCACCTTCACCCCCCAAGCATTTGGTTATTTTTTTTTCTTTTGATCTCTGTTCGCTCACCCACACCAGGACGCTGCTTCCAGAATGGAACTGTCTTCAAATTTTTTACTACTTAGGAAGCTAGTCTATCAGTTTGCCTTAAAAATGTGATGGAGGTTCCTAACTCAGCTGAGGAATCTGGACAAGTCTTCTTTGATTTCAGCTTCATCCCAAGGTCCATGAATGTTTTCTTTAAAAAGCTGCAGGCGAATGAGGTAGTAAGGACAGAGACATGAGATGGAAACCAACAGAAGGGAAAACAGTATGGCTCCCACAACACTAATGGACAGCAGGCCTCCCAGGGCTGAAAATGCAAAAAGCAGAGTGACCCCCACATAGCAGCGGGGAGTACATGCCTTCAGTTTCTTCTGTAACATGGGCCACAGGGCAAAAATCTGGATGGCAAAGGTCACCATGATGAAGGCATGCAGCGACCGGGGAAGGCGTGAGGCCAGGCAGACAGAAGCAAAGATGGCCATGTTCAAGGACAGTGTGCTGGACACAATGGCAGCATTGGCACCATAGTCAAAGAAGATGAGGTGGCCTAAAAGCATGAAGACTGACATGGCATAGATGGTGTCAGTGCTGACAGATTCTGTCAAGGTCTTCAGCACTGGTGAAAAGCCGTAAGTGAAAGTAATGAAGACTAGAGCACTCTTCAGGTCAGCCCACCGGGTCCGCCCACTCTTCTTCCGTCCTTCACCTCCATCAACAAGATCAAACAAAACATACCCAATCAGTGAAGAAGCCAGGCCAGTCCCAAAAAGCCAGTGGGGGGCCAGAAGACCTTCATCCATATACCACCAGATAACCACAAAAACACAGACACTGCACAACTGCTGTACTACCACACTAGACTCAAATACTACAGCCCAATACTGGTATTTCCGGGCATGGATGTTTTTCCTGAGTTCTTCCAGGAAACGCCGGTCCACATAGTTATCAGGGAAAGGCTGTCGCTCATACAAGACCTTCTGCCACTTGACTTCCTTGGTGTTAGTTACAGGTTGGGCACACATTATCCCTTCTCTCAAACTCAGGCTAATTCAATCTCTTTCGCAGAGGTTCATGTGGTTCTCGTTCTTTATGAAGTTTTGAAATAAGATCTCTCTGGAAATTCCATGCTGTGGTTGATATTCTACCAACCTTTCCTTGTTTTCAAAGGCAGCAACCCAGGGTAGGCCTGCAATAGGTGAGTTTGTTCTCTGATACAGGACAATACAGCCAAGTTCCTAGAAAAAGAGAGACTATGAACCTATGAAAGTTGTAAAAGATCATGGGTAGGACTGAGTTAAAACTAAACCAACTTACTTCACTAAAAGTCTGAGCAAAATATATGTGGTGGCCATCTTATAATTTGGAACATTAAAAATGCATTCCAGGTTTTTAAATTATAATCCTTGAATAATAATAGATATCTGTTAGCTATCACTTATTGAGTGCCTACGCATCAAGTTACCTTACGTATCTTCTTTTACTTAATCTTCAAAACCTTGCAAGTTAATATTAATCCCATTTTAGTAAAAAACAAACAAACAAAAAACAACACAAAAACTGAAATTCAAATTGCTTAAGCACTTTGGCCTAAGGTAACAGAGTGGTGCAGGATTCAAACCAAAGTCTGATCCCAAAGCCTGTGCCTCACATCATATCTCCCTGTAAGCCAGTTCTTAACTCAGGGGTTCACATGTATCTGAAGTTGATGCAAATTTATAGGTACAGAATCCATACCTTTTATTGGATTCTAAAAGGATGTTATGTTTTAAAGTTACTTATTTAAAGACAACAGCAAACTGCACAACGCTGAAAGGCATGAGCTCTAAGGTTTATTTAGCCAAAAACAAGGACTTAAAGAAACTAAAGATGTTTCATCTATTAACTGAGCTTAACATCCTTTAAAGAGCTGTCATTCTACTTAAAAGAGCGAAACTCTTTGTGAGGATCGAAAAAGACAATCATTCCTTTTTCACAATGGGAAACTAAGAATCAAAAATACCCAGGTCTTCCAGCAAATCTGAGGGGAAAAAAAAAAATCATATTGCCCGACCTTATTTCTTCCACGGAGACCACAACAGGTTGTGCTTTGCAAGTTACACACCCCGGAGCCCCCTTCACCGCAGCAGGGACCCAGCCGGGAATCTCGGCCGCTGCCGGGGCTCGAGGGTCCGCAGAGCCAAAAAGGGCAACGCCCGCCCGCAAGCTCGGGAATGGGCTGGGCGCGGGCAGGAAGGGTCGAGTAGGGTGACCCCAGGGGTGCCCCATCGCCCTCCGGGCCTCCCCCACCCGCCGCCGCTGCCTCTCACCCGGCCTCGGGCCTGCGGGGGATGGCAGAGGGGAAGGAGGTCCGGAAACACTGACGGCCACACAGAACCCACCTGCCCGTGAAATCCTAGGGGTGCGCGGCCGGCGGACGGCGGCCGCCGCCTCCTTCCCCATCCGGGGCGCCGGGCGTTGCGACTGCGGCCGAGCACTTCCGGGTCCGCCACAACCTCCGCGGCAAGAGCGCCCTGCCCAGGCCGGAAGCATTGTGAGGTCGCTGCTGCCCCCTCCTGGCTGTTCAGAGGACCTCCGAGCTCCTCTTCCCGGAGACCTATCCCAAGAGGAGAGCAAATCCCCAGCAGAAAGACAAGGGGTTGGCCATCCAAAGGGCTGGGTAAGGCAAGAAAAGACAGGGAAAGAGGCTGGGCTGGTAAAAGAGAATTAATAACAGCCACTTTTGTGGAGCTCCTGTCATTAATACAGGTCCTCAGCTAAGGACTTCCCATGCCTCCATATACTCCAGATACTCAGCAAGTTACCTTCAGGTATAAGCACTGTTTATGATGCTCCTGATACCGAAGCAAATGAACAGATAAAAATGCCTGCTCTCATGGAACTCTCCCATGCATTGACCTTTACACTGATAATATCAACTCCCTTCTCATAGTGGACAAATCTGAGGCTCAGAGAAGTTGGAATTTCTCCAAAGCCAGGTATCTGGGAAGTGGATGAACAGAGATCAATGCCCTGTAGTCTATAGCTTCAAAGCTTGGTTCTTTCTTTGAGGGTGGAGGGCCCTGTGTCTGAAACATAGCCAGAGGCTTGGGACAGAGATTGCTAATATTCAGCTGAATTCATGGAAATATTAGCAGATGTGTAAACAGATGGAAGTAATAAAAAGCAAAGTGAAACACAGGATATAGTGGAAATAAAAGTCAGAAAACATGAACCCATTTACTAGCTGTATGACTCAGGGCAAATCACACTATCTTCATCTGTAAAGTGGAGATGACACTATTTGCTCTTGGCTACTTTATGGGATGGTTAAAAGAGTGAAATATAAAATGTTTTGTAGAGTGTTGACTCCCATATGGCTGCTATTAGCTTACTTTGGTCATTGTCATGATAGCAGTGGTTAAGTGTGATAAATTATGCAAAATGATCTCTTTCCATTTCTCTCCAGGTTTCTGTTCCAAAATTTGGCAAGGTTCCCTGGCTTAGTGAAGCCAGCCTGGTAAACAAGCCCCTAGTGCTCAGCCTCCCCAAAAGGTAACTGCTCAGCCACTGAGTTCAAAGTCTTCAAGAAAGGTCTTAGAGAAGGTGCTTTCTTAAGGCATGGGGGCAGTTATCAGAGGCACACTTCCAATCAATTGAGAAACCCTAGCCAACTGCTCACAAAACAGAAATGTCCTGAGTTTCTCAGATAAAAATGATAAATAGGTCTGGCTAGAGGAGATGAGATCCCAAATGACCTCCCTTTCTACCACCACCACTCAACATATAAGAGAATCTTGCCCCAAGACACTGCCTGTAAACACCCTTCTATCGTGTTCTTCACCCAACTTTTCTCCTCTGGTTTAGTTTGAAACTTTCAAAATTTTAACCAGCAAAAGTCTAGAACCAGAACTTCCCATCTTTATAGAGTAGCAACTATCTGTATTTAACCTTAAGGCACTCTCCTCCAACTTCATCAGTCTCGCCCCCTCCAAACAAATCACTGTAGGACACACAGTTCCGTTTTTCACATTTGGAGGAAATAACATGTAAAGGGAGTGGAAGGAAGGGTGGGTGTGAGGAAATGTGGGGGTGAACTGGAGAAACTGGAGGCCCACAGGCCATTCCACAGGCACATCACAGACTAACAAGGTTTAGCCCCTGGCATGTGAGGCAGCTTGCTAGAAAGGTGAGACTCTCCAAAAAGAGTTTTTCCTCCTGTTGGTAACCTTGGTAACCACCTTGGACTCTCCTGCCCAGGATAGGCAACTCTTGATGAGGGCTAGCCCGTCACTCTCTCTAGCTCCCACTTCAGAAAGACACACCTTGGCTTTGTCTGCTGCACCTTTTAACAAACCACATTCTCAGTAAGCAGTTAGACAGTTTTATGTATTTTCAGAACAAAGTACAGAAATGCTTTCAAGTGTTTATTGTTCAGTTTTGCTATCTTTATATAACTTTGAATATTTTTAAAGCAGGTAATCAGAGGTTCAACCCAAAGGCTTGCTTAAGAAATAAAAACACTAAATGGTATAGTTCGTATGAAGAGTTGTTAACACTTCAAAGATCAGCATGAGTAAGGACAGCCTAGTATCTTTCACTTGGGGGTGGCGCACAAACTCACGTGCCATGGCAGTCAGATGGGTGGCGTAAGGAGTAGAGCTGGCTGGCTGGGGGCTGCAGTGGGTGGGAGATCACCCCCTAACCGAAGGACACAGCCTGCCCTCTACCCCAGCCAGTGTGTGAGTCCAGTGGCCAAATTTGTTGGTCTTTCTAACAGTACTAGAAATCTGGATGTTTTATGTGATGTTACTAGTGTTTGGCATCTAATGGAATAGCATCCCACCATCCCATACTACCCCAGCTCCCTTGTTCCCCAGTTCTAAAGCCTGTGGCAGAGTGTGGGAAGCAGGGAGCAGGGCAGGCTCAGAATACAGCGGGGCATCCACAGCACCTGCTCCCATTCACAGAGTGTCAGAGCAGACAGTGTGAAAGGGAGGGGCTAATATTCCCTCCAGCCAGCCAAACTTAAGCTAGCCACATGGAGAAATTACCGAAGGTGGGTGGTGAAGCTTTATTCATCTTTATTCTGGGAGGATTTCGGCAGCAATCTCAATTCTTGTTTAGAGAAATGGAGCTTACCTACCTCACAAGAATTCTAAGATAATAAGACAGGACCCGTGAGGTGCCCTGAGCTCTGAGGAGGACAAGACAGGAATGCCAAGTCTTTCAAAATGATGGTTTGCGTAAATCTCAACCATTCTTAAGGATTAGAAACTTCTCTTTTGGCAGAAAGTCTGGGTTCCAAGCTGTTTATTCGTAGCAAAACCTTTTTTTCTGAAACTTTGAGGGGAAGTTCTCAATGTGCTTTAAGTATTACATAGCCTTGGGCAGGCAGTTCTAATGCAGAACGGTCTGAAAAAGATAAAGGAACATTTAGTGCAAGGAGCTGAGAGTACCCCAACCACAAGCTCCGGAAACCACTTGCGGGGTTGGGCTGGAGGCGCTGGGCCGGGGCGGCGGTGCCTGCGCTGATCCACTTCCTGTGAAGACTCTTGTCAGGTTGGCTGCCAGTGTCAGAGCCACGCTCACCGTCAGACTGCAAAGCCCTGCAGGTCATGCAGAGGTTCTGTTTATAATACGATTATTGTGTACTGAAGCAGCTTTAAACTGGCCTTCCGGCCTCTCCTGGTCAGCATTTGGTGACAAGTCCAAGGCAGCCTGTTCTTGTATCAAAGACAAAGTCTATGGGGAAGCTGGGCTCAGGCCCGCCTCTCCTGGTCTCTCAGGGCCCAGGGAAGTGGTGAGGAGAAATGAAACAAGAAATGCCTCATGAACACCAACCTTTTTGTTTTCAACGAACAAGGAACAATGAAATCTTTCCTCGTTAATGAGAAGAGGTGTTCTTGGCAAAACTATCAGGCCCCTGAGTTTCCACGCCGCACGCACATGCCGGGGCAGGCACAGCGCTGCATGCACAGGCACAGTGCGGTTAGCCCGCAGGCCTCCGCCCCTCAACACGGTGATGAGACGAACCCCACGGGCAGGCGAGGCGGGTTGCAGGCAGGGCCCCCTGTGATGAGAACCAGTGTTGTTCCTGCAGCATCCCTGCTTCACCTGCTAACCGGAAAGAAAGACCGTTCCAGAGGACAATAGTGGCGGGAGGGAGCAGATGTTCTGTGGAGGAAACAGGTGGACTGTCTCAGTGTGCAGGGACACGTGCTCCAAGGCGGCAGGCCAGGCACAGAGGGACGGGCACTGCATTAAAGTCTTTGGTATTTAATGCTTAAATACCAAAGACTTTAATGCAGACCTTTCCGACGAGGAGACCCGGGGTGCGTCTCACTTGTTACACATCTGCTTTCATGAACAATCTGTTTCCTGCCTTATTTGTCTGACAATAAGATAATGCCTTATCTGTCTGACAATCCAGCACTGGCATTGGTTAGTGCAAACAAAAGGAGCAGAGAAGCCAAAGTGACACAGGAGAGCAGAGCCATCTCTGGGGAGCTGCTTGATGGCCTGAGCCTTCCAGAATTGCAGCGGGAGGCCGCTCACTAAGGGGCGTCCCTTGTGTCCGCTCAGAAACAACCGAGAGCCTGGCTCTTCAAACCAGGGACTGTGGTTCTAACTTTCTCTTGTTTTGCTTACTTAGATCTCCTCATTCCTCTGCCACTTTTCTGACTTCATCCAAGAAGGATGTGAATTTGCCAATTATGTTTCAAGTTCCAGATGTCTTATCTAAGGTACTCAAAGTTTTTAACTGAAATACAACCAATAGAAGTTCTAGGATGACATAGAATGTGAATACGTTTTTTTTTTTTATCTGCTCAGCACAGCCCTGTGCCTGGTATATCATCAGTGTTCAAGAAATATTTGTTGAGTGAAATGAATGAGCACCAACCCCCTCACCCTGTCTCAGGTGCCCTAGGGCCCCAGCCCACTAGAATTAAGAATAAAGACATAAGGTTAGAATCATCAAAAACAGGGGAAAATTAAATATAGAGGAATCTGTATCCCCAAGATCTTCAGGACTGTTTCTCAGCCTGTTTGGAACCAATCCTTGTTTCTGGGGTCTTTAACCCCTTCCCCCAATTGACTATTTCTTTTACACTGAAAACTCATTTTCCCTCTACCGGCTGCAGAGTGACACTCAGTGGCACTGTGCAGCGCAGCGGCCTCTGGGGGCCCAACAGTGCCTGTGCAGTCAGCACCTCCCTGAGGCGGAAAGAGAGATCACTCGTGATGATCACTCAGTCTCTTCACCCGAAGCATTGCACGTTGCTCACAGAGCCGTTGCAGGCAGCGCCTGAAACGGTGCCCCTAACGCATCCGGCACAGTGCCCTGCACGGAGAGAGCTCGGTAAACGTGAACCAGGGTTACCGCAGCCCCGGCGTCAGTCGATAAATGCTTCCTGAGCCCCTTTCATTTGCTGTAACGCAGATGCAGAGATGAGTAAGGCAGCTACGGCCTACAGAAGCGAGTGGGCAGACGGGACTGGGACAGGACAGCCCAGTGAGCCTCAGAGAGGGGCAGAGCGCTCGCAGGAGAAGTGGGAGGAAAGGTCACCTCTGGGTTGAGAGGGGCAAGCAGAGGCGGAGCGAGGGAGCGAGGGATTCAGGAGGACGTTGCGTCTGCAACGGATCTGGAAGATGCATTTTCGCAAGTGGAGGGGAAGAGCCAGGGGAGGAGGAAAAACTGCAAAGACTCTTAAGTGAGGGGAAGAGTGTCCGCAAAGAGGTGGAGACTGAGCCTGCAGGAAATGCTTGAAGAACATCGAAGAATCATGGGCGTACGTGGAAGGGAAGCAAGGAGATGGGTGGGCCCAGCTGGAGCGCAGAGGACCCCAAAAGCCAAGAGCAGTGAGGAGACATTCCTGGTTTTCAGTACTGGAGTGTCAGGGTCCGAGCTGTGCTTGAGCGTCACCTCCTTAGTTCCCCCAACACCCTGGACCGGCGAGTATGTGAGATTGGCCGGCATGACATGCACTGGGTGGAGGCCAAGTGGGGAGGCAGGACTGGCCTGGCAAATGCTACAGAACCAGCAAGAAGTCTTGCAGTCCCCAAGTCTCTTTGAAACTTCCTATTTAAGCAGGCTCTTCACCTGCTGCCGAACGCCTCCTGGTCCTGGGTTTGCTCTGGGTCTCTGCATTGTGGCAGCCTCGGCACTAAGACGCCAGGCTCTAGCCTGGCTGCAGCCAAGGATGGGGAAAGAAAGCACTAACAATGACGGGGAAGTGACAGGCCACCCTCCAGCAGGGCTTTGCCTTTCGTGGCTGCAATCGTCAGGGATGGCCGCTAGATGGCAGTGAAGAGCAACGGCTTCCCGCCGCGGGGCTGGTAGCTGCGGGGGCGGCCACAGGGGTAGACTGAGGCAGGTCACGAATACGCTGCTCCTACCAGGAGAGGAGAGCACAGGTGCTTCAGCCTCGTCCTTTGGGTGAGAGAGACTCACCCTTGCAGACTGGAAGGACAAGCGGGGGACCCGGATGCTGTTCCGTTGGGGCGCCAGGCAGGAACCTCCAGTCAGACCCTTGCCTGTCACTCAGACTAATCCAGCCCCAGAGTCCGCGGAGAGCGCGAAAGCCGGCCCGCGTCTGCGCTGAGGTGAACGCCGACCCAGCCGGCAGCTGCCCCCTTCTGGAAAGTGCTGTGTCTCCCGGAGCGGAGTGTCCTGAGGACAGTCTCTCCCTTCGTCCTCTAGATCAGAGACCCGCGCCCTGCCGAGAGGCTGCCGGCAGTCCTGCAGTAGCCAGAGGCCCGGCCCTGCGCCTGGGCACAAAGGTCCTGCCACCTGGCCCCCTTCCCGTCGTCACAGGTCAAGGAGCAGCACTTTGAACACCAACTGGCCAGGAGGCTCTGAGTAGACAGAGGGGGAGCAGGCTCCCGGACAGTGACAGGGAGGCGGCACAGACCGCGAGGGAGACACACACAAAAACACGACAAGGGAAACAAAAGGAGAGGCAGAGCTGACAGAGAAGAAAAGCGGTAAATGAAGACAAAGAAATGAAGCTAAACATTTCCTCAAGTAAACATTTGCTGTGGAGAGGCCTCTTCCTTAGTCACTGCTTTCACCCGCCATTGCCAGGCATTGACTCAAGACTCCTGGAGGCGCGGACAAACAGGAAGGCGCATCGTCACAGTTGGCTGATGGGGCCAAGAGGCAACTTCCTTGGTGATCCCCAGCAAGGCAAAAGCAGATGGATGTGGGTGACACGGGGAACTGCAGCTGGAGACCCCAAAACACCTTTGCCACTTGCTTGGGTTAAGTGCAAATTAGCTGGAGCTCCTCAGTTGTCAGTAGACTACAAATGTTGTCCTCCGTGAATGCCACCACACCTCTCACTCCCTGCCCCCACTCCCCTTCCACTCACTTTGATCTCGGTTTATTGTTCCAGTCCAATGAGTCAGAGTAAAGATGAAAACATTATTTATTTTGCCTTTAGAAGACCTGTTGCAAAAAGCTCTGGCTCAAAGATTGTGCAGTAGCACAGGCACAGATGGGAAAATGTATAGGAGGTGACTACCTACTTTTTCACTGCTAAGAACTCTTTTTATAATTTCTCTCCCATTGACTCTAAATTTTGAAAGCTCATGACCACCAAGGAAACTCCCTCATATACTCCTAAGTCCTTTTTATATTTATATTGTTTATATTGATCAAATGCATATAACTACAAATGCAATTTTTAAGGAGAAATAGTAATGAACACCATTGACCTGAAATAGTAATGTAATAAAAATCAAATTTAATAAGTTTGGACGATAGGTGAATGCCTGGCTATTATTTTATATATGCTTAAAATTTTTCCTAGTGAACAGTAAGAGTGTTTTTGAAACTATATTCAGCTTTATTCTTTAATTGAAATGGCTGGTATTTTCGGATAGAAGGAAAATGTGTAATTATCATTAGGTATTTTTGAAATATCGAAAATAATTCTCTGAGCACTGCTTTTTGGACTCTACATGGTATAGGAATAATTATGCCTTCATGTGCGTCCTAAGAGTCCGCTCTTCCCCAAAGGAAAGATAGTTTGTCTTGGACTCCTTAAACTTTCTAGCTGACTGAAACTAAATAGATGTGATATTGGACAAATCTCTTAACGTTTGTGGGCCACAGTTTCCTCACTGGGTTCATTGAAAGAGTTGAGCCAGCTGGCCTGTGAGGTGTCTGTCAGGTAAGAAATAGAAAGGAGAAAAGGAACAGAGGTGTCCAGGGGCCAGAAAGAAGCTGATCCGTCTATGCTCTTCACATCATGCTTGGGAGGCCCTTTTCTAAATCACCATCTGGTGCTTACAGTTTCGGTTTTTATGTGAACAGGTGTGTGTGGGGGGCGGAGAGAACATGGAGGGACAGGGAGAGAGAGGGAGAGAAAGAAATTTTCTCTGTTTCTCTGTCTCTTTACCAAGGATTCAAGAAGGTCAAGGACTTGGGCCATGAGCCAGCTCTTAGAAACCTCAGCAGATGCTGTCCTCGGGGATTAGGATGTTTCCAACTGTAAAGTGTGAGGAGCAGGCCTTGGCTTCTGGGACTGGCTGAAATCTGCATCTTGCCTTGGCCAGGCTACAGATTAGGTTGCTGTCACTCTCCTGTCACAACTGCCATCTGCTGTCCAGAGGACAGCTGCTTGGAAAATGAGAGTCCCATTAACATTTCAGTGCCTCTGGCTGTAGACATGATAGAACCAGGGCCTTGTGCTGTGAACCTGGACAATTCACTCTCCATTCCTACCTTAAGGCTGCTGAGCTGGCCTTAAGGAAACCAAGAGTGAGATGGGAATGCTGCAGAGGAAAAGACCTAGGTTTGGGGGCTGGGAAAGAAAGCAAGACAGAATGGAGGAAATGAGGCCTGCAGAACATGGACCCCCACATTGTTTGCATCCACTTTGAATTTGCCAGTCACGGCTGTCTTCCATGACTCCCCAGTGTCCTCCTCCTCTCCAAATATAGAGGAGTGGAGTAGCTCATCTTGGAGGCCAGGCTTCAGCCAATAGTGAGTCTGAGGTGAAGTGCAGCCACAGATCAATGATTGATTTTCACCTGTACACGTGAAACAAGCACAGGATTGAGTGTCTTCTTTGTCTTTTTGTCCACAAAGACCATCCTCAGTAAGGAAGGAGAGGCCCAGAGAGTTTACATTATGGACCAAAGTCGTTTAAGCTGCTCACAGAGCCAGGTCTGGAATAGAGCTCTTTGGGCTCCCAGCCAGTGCTTTCCCCACACATTATGTGGACTGAATTGGTGGTACTACAACACTAATGTCCTCTGACACTGCCCTGAAGGCAGTATGGTAACAGTGATCTTCATGCGCACATGTGTTTTGTGTTTTAGGTGTACATATGTTGATTGTGTCTATATTTACAGCTGATAAAATGCTTACAATGACTCATCCATTCAGCCAACATTTGTTGAATATTTACCATGTGCCAGATTCTATGATAGGTTCCAGGAATACAAAGATGTGCAAAACATGGTCTTGCTCTTAAATAACTCTCAGCCTGGTAGAGAAAACAAACACATTAAAAAAAAAAAAGAGGAGGAGGATGACAAGTAGGGGAGTACAAAATGCAGAGAAAGCTACACCAAGTCTATGATGCAATCAGAGACTCAGACACCCAACTTCACTTGGGATGGAGGTGGGAAATGGCAGGAGAGGCAGGAGAAAAGTAAGAAGAAAGCAAGATAGAATGGAGGAAATGAGGCCTGCAGAACATGGAACCCCTAATTGAGAAAAGTAACATCTATGCTGTGTCTTAAAGGATGAGGAGTCTGAGGAGTTAACAAGCCCAGGTAGGACAACATATAAATCCTTTCATTCTTCAGTTTCTAAGGGATGATGGTCATCATGATTATGGTGCTCTGTAATCATATTTACAGTTGTCATTAACCTAGCAAGATCCTGCTATACACCTTGGAGATCTCACAGATATATTTGTTGCTTGATTTGCAAAGAACTCTGAGATTCTGATCCCTGTGGAGTCAAATACTATCCTTCTATGGAAACCAGAAGTCTGGAAAAGGTGAAGGAATAAATTGTGGGGAAGACAAGAACCTGCTTCTAACTCTACTGAAAACAAACCTGCCCAAGAATTCTCCCACACCCACCTGTCCCGTCCAGGTCTTCCTAATCCCTTAAGACCGAGTGAAAATCCCCTCCTAGAGGCCTTTCCTGAACCCTCCAATTAGAAGTGGTCTGTCTCTCTTCTGAAGGCCCAAAGGTATCGTTGTGTCTTCTGCAATATTTAGTGCATCCAACCTTGAATGACAGTTTCAGAGACGTATCTTAGTTTCAGACCTCAAAGAAAGAGGGTTGGATGAGGAACCTGAGCTGCAGGGCTCACCACAGCCAGGGTGTCAGGGACAACAAGGTTGAAAGTTCAATTGGCCTGAAGCCGAAGAATCAATACCTACAGACACTTCCTCTCTAGGCTCCTACTCCACCCCTCCTCCCACCAGACGATCTGATCTGAAGCTGACTTTTTTCCATTTTGTTGCACAATGTTTTCTGGGCTAGGAACACGCTGCCCTCTCCTTGTTCGCCCCACAAACACCTACCCAGGCAGTGCCTGTTCTTTTAACCCTTCCCAGACCTTTCCCTCCCTGCCCCACCCGGTCAGTTCAGTGACCAGTTTCAGTTTCACTGTGGCCTCAGTATAGTTCCACCAGAGCACCTTCCACACCCTCGTACTTCTTGGCACACAGTCTGCTGGGTGGTGAGCAGCTTGGGGTCAGAAGCTGTGTCTTTTTATCTCAATGTCCCCAGTACCTAATGGATGGGCAAATAAGTGAGTTTGTGTTCCTCTCTTGTCTTCCTTAGGGCCAGAAACTTTGCCTCACAATAGATGTTTGTTATTGAATGAATGAATCTAGTCATTCACACTCATACTTTGACATATCAACCCACAACATTGCAATACTGAGTTGATTCTTTTAAATTCCCTATAAAAATGAAGTCTATTTTAACTGTTTGTTAAAAGAATCCAACTTTGCCAATAGTTTTCAGTCCTCAAGCGCGAGGGGGAAGCTACTCGCAGACCAGTCCAGCAAAGCTCACCGTAGGAGCCACCCCGGCCCTCCCCACACTCCAGAGACATGGGCCTCCTCTTCCTGTTCCCACCCTCCTCCCTAAACCCTTTCTGAACCTGCCCCCAAATTCAACATCCACCCTGGAAGGGGCTCGGGCCAGAGTGCCCATCTCTGTTTTGTGGAAGGCCCCCACCTCTTTGCTGCCCCGGGCACCCAACCGTTTCCCCACCTCTCTGTCTCTCTTTCCCTTCAGGCCAGGAGGAACCAGAGTGACTCCATGCTGCTCAGAAACAAGCGGCTGTGCCCCCAGTGTCGACGAATAAATACAGTAGGTGTTGTTAACTCTGGGGGCGACAGAGATTGGCATGGGCAGCCCCAGGGCACAGCGCTGCCCTTCCCCAACCAAAGCCCCGTGGAGAGGGACAGTAGTGGGGCCTCTTGCAGGAAAGGTCTCGATAAAGGCTGCAAATGAGAAACTGCTGGTCCTGGAAGCACCGTCCACTGACACAATTTGCTAAACCTTCCCCATTCCAAGCAACCCAAAGTGAGCCAAGATAAGTGAGCCAGAGTGGAAGAGATGAGCCACTTCACCCACTGCACCAAGAGGCTCAGGAGGTTATGGAGCTACCTCTTCCCATTTAACAGCTCCAACGTAAGATAGATGCACACGCAGTCCTCCTCCACTGTTGCAAGAATGAAATAAACAGCTTAGCCTTTGGGTCTATCATTAACTTAGCCAGCACGTCAGGAGAAAAGCTGGGGAGAGAGTCTACAGTACTTTCTAGCTGGCGGGGGGGGGGGTGTGTCCTGCCCTGGATATGTATAACTGGGAGTGGGGAGTCATGGTCGGGGAGGAGTCTTAGGGAAAGAAAGGAGGATAGAAAAGAGGATGTGGAGGGAACAAACTCAAACCTCTGCAGTCTGCAGTTTGCTGAAGAAAAAGGCCCAACCCAGGAGAGATGCCATAGCAGGTTAGAGTGAGGCCTCAGGTTAATTTAAGGATTAGGGTTAGAGTTAGGATGGTTATTAGGGTGAGGAGAGGGGTCAGGCTTGGGTTAAGTGTTAAATTAGGTAAGTGGCTAGGTTTAGCACAGAGGTTGGGGGAGGTTCTCTTTAACTCTGATATCCTATAATTCTCCTTTGACTTGGGAAGGAAGACAGAGCTAAACATGCTTAAGAGGAAGGGACAGGAGTGAAAGAACAAGAGGAGATGTGAAAGAGGCTTTCACTGACTTCATGGCAAAAGTGCTTAGTAGGATATGGAATGTATGCTAGTATGCTAGTGGGATATGGAAAAGAGCAGCAGTCGTGTAAAATTTTTCTGTGGAATTTGGAAAGGCAACTGTGGCTTCTGGCAAAGCTGTACCTAGATGTTGCGATCTCTGTTCATTTTCTACATAATTAGGATCACGGTGTTCAATATTAGCATAACCTGAAGTCTGGGAAACTAAGATTGCGATTTCTCTTGGTCTTATTCCTGGAATCACTTGTGTCCACATTTGTAATGCACTGACCCCAGGCCTAGGCTGCCCCTGGCCAGTTGGCACACTTGGGACATCGGCAGCTGCCCTCTTTCTCAAGACCTTATCTCTGACCTTTGCCCTTGTCCATACCTGACAGGAGTGGAACCACGCGCTGTAGTTTTACCATTTGCCGCAGCTTCTAAAAGGAAGGTCCTTAAACACAAAAATGCTTAAGGACCCTTCCCCACTGTTGTCAGAACCTGATGGGAAACTACAGAAAGTTAGAAAATAAGCATGAAATACCCTTGCCCCATGTTATGCAGTAGCACCTCGATGTCCTTCCAGGGGAAGGGATTGAAGATCTGTTGCGGTCACTATGACACCCCTCCTTTCTCAGCAGTGAGTTGAATGGAGTTTCTGGGGAAGATATAAAAAGACTCCTAGGTATAGGTGGGAACTTCCTCATTATAATAAAGAGCATCTATGAAAAACCACAGCAGACATCATACTTAATGGTGAAAGACTGAATACGTTCTCCTAAGATGAGGAACAAGACAAGAATGTCTGCTTTTGCCACTTCTATTCAACATTATACTATACAGTCTAGCTAGGGCAATTAAGACAAGAAAAAGAAATAAAATCCATCCAGATTAGAAAGGAAGAAGTACAACTATCTTTATTTGTAGATGGCATGATCTTATATGTAGAAAGCCCTAAGAAATGCACACATATGAAAAAAAAAAACTATTGGAGTTAATAAATGAGCATAGCTCAGATTTAGGATATAAGATCAATATGCAAACATTAATTTATTTCCATATACTAGCAATAAACAATCCAGAAATAAAATTAAGAAAGCAATGCCGTTTTTTTTTTTTTTTGTAGACAGAGTCTCACTCTCTTGCCTAGGCTAAAGTGCCGTGGCATCAGCCTAGCTCACAGCAACCTCAAACTCCTGGGCTCAAGTGATCCTTCTGCCTCAGCCTCCTGAGTAGCTGGGACTACAGGCATGCGCCACCATGCCCGGCTAATTTTTTCTATTTTTGGTAGAGACTGATTCTCACTCTTAATCAGGCTGGTCTCGAATTCCTGAGCTCAAATGATCCACCTGCCTCAGCCCCCCAAAGTGCTAGGATTACAGGCATGAGCCATCGCGCCTGGCCAAGAAAGCAATGCCATTTACAATAGCATCAAAAGTATACTTAGGAATAGATTTAACAAAAATTCAAAACCTGTACATCAAAAACTATAAAACATTGTAGGAATAAATTAAAGACCCAAATAAATAGAAAGAATCCTGTGTTTATGAATTGGATTACTTAGCATTATAAAAATGGCAATACTCCCCAAATTGATCTATAGATTCAATGTAACCCTTCTAAAAATTCCCAGATGCTGTTTTTGCAGAAATTGACAAATATATCTTGAAATTCATATGAAAATGCAAGAGATCCAGAATAGCCAAACAGTCTTAAAAAAGAAGAAGAAAGTTGGAGGATGTGTACTTCTGGATTTCAAAATTTACCACAAAGCTACAGTCAGGACTATGTGGTACTGGCATAAGGATAGACATAGATTAAAGGAATAAAATTGAGAGTCCAGAAATAAGTTCTTACATTGAGTTTTGTCAAGGGTGCCAAAACAGTTCAATGAGGAAAAAGTAGTCTTTTCAATAAATGGTACTAGGACAGCTGTATATCCACATGCAAAAGAATGAAGTTGTACCTCTCCCTCTCACCATATACAAAAAAGAACTCAAGATAGATAAAACCTTGAGTTGTATCTACCTGTATCTATCTAAATGTAAAAGCTAAAACCATAAAACTCTTAGAAGAAAACATAGACATATATCTTTGTGATCTTGGATAAAGCAATGGTTTCCAAGACATGACACCCAAACCACAAGCAGCAAAAGACTATAGATAAATTGGTCTTCATCAAAATTTTAAACTTTTGTGCTGCAAAGGACACCATGAAGAACATGAAAAATAACCCAAATATTTAAAAATCATGGGATAAGGGACTGTACTAGATAAGGGACTAGAATCTAGAATATATAAAGAACTCTTACAACCAAACAACAAAAATACAAACATCCCAATTAAAAAGTGAGCCAAAAAATTTGAATAGATATTTCTTCAAAGAAGATCTACAAATGGCCAATAAACACCTGAAAAGATGCTCAACACCATAACACATTAAGGAAATACAAATCAAAACTACAATAAGACACATTTTCCACCCAGTACAATGGCTATAATAAAAACAATGTACAATAAAAAGTGTTGGCCAGGATATGGAGAAATTAGAACCATCATCCATTGCTGATGGTAGTATAAAACAGTACAGCTGCTTTGGAAAACAGTTTGGCAGTTTCTTAAAAACTTAAACACAGAGTTGTCATATAATACAAAAATTCCATTCTCAGATTTATACCCAAGAAAACTGAAAACATAAGTCCATACACAGGGCCGGGCACGGTGGCTCATGCCTGTAATCCTAGCACTCTGGGAGGCCGAGGTGGACGGATTGCTCAAGGTCAGGAGTTCAAAACCAGCCTGAGCAAGGGCGAGACCCCATCTCTACTATAAATACAAAGAAATTAATTGGCCAACTAATATATATATAGAAAAAATTAGCTGGGCATGGTGGCGCATGCCTGTAGTCCCAGCTACTCGGGAGGCTGAGCAAGAGGATCGCTTGAGCCCAGGAGTTTGAGGTTGCTGTGAGCCAGACTGACGCCATGGCACTCACTCTAGCCTGGACAACAAAGCGAGACTCTGTCTCAAAAAACAAAAAAGTCCATACACAAACTTGTACAAGAATGTTCATAACAGCAGCATTTATAAGAGCTGAAAAGTGGAAATAACCTAAATGTTTTTCATCTTAATAATAAATAAAAAAATATAGTCTGGCTATACAATGGAATATTATTTAACCACGAAAAGGAATGAAGTACTGATACATGCTATAACACGGATGACCATTGAAGAAATTTTGCCAAGTAAAAGAAACCAGACACAAAAAGTCACATATTGCATTGATTCCATTTATATGAAATATCCAGAGTAGACAAATCCATAGAGAGAAGAAAATAGACAGTAGACTGCGGGGAGGGGTGAATGAGGAATTACTGCTACTGGGTACAGGGTTTCTTTTTGGATAATGAAATGTTCTGGAAATAGATAATGATGATTGTTTTACAACTTTCTGAACATATTAAAAATCACTGAATTGTATACTAAGATGGTAAATTTCATGATCTGTGAATTATATCTTAATAAAAAAAGATTAACACTAGAAAAATATTTTTAAAAATAAAAAAATGGAAAATGAATTGAATCTCAAAAAAAGAAAGTCTAAATAGTACCTGGCTTGTGCAAATACTCATATTTCTATATAACCTTGAGCCAGGAACTCAACCATTTAGTGCAGAAGAAATACCTGTTGATGATTATGGTCATTCATCACCAGGGATATTTGCCTTAGTTTTCTATACTGTCTTTTATCACATCTCTGCTCCAAGCAGCTCATCTTCCCCTGAAAGCCTATGTTTTATAGGCCTTCTGTTATCTGTATTGCTCTCTAGTTAAGAGTTTCAAGCCCTTTAGAAGTAGGACTGTGAAACTAGACACATCATAGGCAGGCATTCTCTATCACATACATTAATTGGTTTCAAAAGCCCATTATATAATTCAGTTCATTTCAACAAATATTTATTGATTGCTTGCCATGGGCCATGGGTAATAGCTACAAATTAAAAAAAAGAATGTGACATAAGTCCTACTTTTAAGGAGTCAACAGGTAAATAATGACAATAAAATATGATGAATAGAAATAGAAATAAACCTAATGAGGAGGGAAGGGAAAGTAAATATCAAGGGAGTCTTTCTGGAAAAAAAAAGCCAATTTGGAGATTTCTAGAATGAATAGGAGTTCACCATGATACGCTTTTTCTCAGAATCACAAATGCCATCTTTGGCATCTGTGTTCTGATATAGGCCCTATAGCCCACTTCATGCATACAGTGGTACTAGCTGGATTTAGGGACTTTAGAACAGGGATCAGGCTATACAGGAGGAGGTCGAGAGTGTCCACCATCTTTCCTTGGAGAAGAGCCAAGATGAAATTTTAATATTTTGACAAATGGCACAGTCTATTTCTGGCACATTCTCACCCCCTTTTAGGTATTTAGAAATCTCTCCTCATGTTCTCACTAAAGACTTGCTGCCCCTACTACCCCCAGAGGTTCCTTGTTACCAGATCACCCCTTCTTCCCCCTCCTCCATCTTCCCATCAGCTAATGACTTAGAAGAACGATCTGATTAAATATGGTAGGTGCTTGGCATTTGTGTAGACTTAATATTCAGTTTTTTACCATTTTCAAGTACCTCTAAAGGTCCTTGACAAGTTGTAATTTTCAACTTTGTTGTATCATAAATTGAAATATGAGTCACTTGGTACAAGTCACTCAGTGTATAGACCAGCTGAACACCTGCACCCACATCCTTGTGATGATCATTTCATTGTCATAACTACAATAATTTGTGAGAAGTAATGAAAAATGCTTCTCAGTGAAAACACACTCTCAAAAGAAAACCAACATCCAGTGCCAGGAACAAATTTGAAAAAGCTCAAGAAAATACTGTATATATTAAGCAAAAATACTGTAACTGTACATTGATTTTAGCCCTTTACGAAGGACACAACCAAAATTTTCAAGTGTGCTCCAAAGTGGGTTCATTCATTCACTAATTGGATCAAATAATATTTCCTTAAACAGGCATTGTGTTGGGAGTTGGAAATATAAAAATAGAGACGTGGTCTCCGCCTTCATGAAGCTGAAAGTCTTTCAGAAAAGCCAGACATGAAGCAAGTGAATACAGTATAAAGGTTATGAGTATTTTGGTAGAGGAAGCCCTGAGACCATAGGCAGAAGACCACCCAACAGCAGTCCAGGAGAAAGTAGTCTCTGTGAGAAAGCTACAGTAACCTGAGACCTGGAGAGAGTGTGTATAGGGACGAGGGTATTTAAACAAACAGATTTCGAAAGTTTACTAATCCTCAGGTATCTAATTTCAACCGATAACTAGGGAAGAACCAAGACTCTATGACTTGAGGGCAGAGTGATACCCTCGGGTTCATATCACAGAAGGATGTATGAGTAACTTTGATATCAAATACAACCTAAGTTCACTAAGGTGGTACATTATTTACTTACATCAGAATAGAGTTAGGGGCAATGTTCTCAATGAGACTTTCTTCCTCAGGTACAACCAAGATCTATGATAATCCCAGATGATCTGAAAGTATCCTTTGAGAATTTTATGAGTCGTAGGTAAGTCAAAGATTTAAATCAGGACATGACTTTAATTCTAGTTATATTTGAAGACACAGGATAGTGGACTGAGAAGCACAGCAAGTAGAATGTTTAGGGAATGGCCTTCTTGGTTGGTTTTATTTTCTGGTTAAAGCAGATAATTAGACCAAACAAAATATTCACCCTTTTGCTCGAATGACTTTTGAAACTACTGTAGAAAGTATAGACTTCCTTTTCCCCTTCACAAGAACCACATAAGGAATAGGACAGGAGATTTCTTTGATAACTTGGGCAGAACTAAATACAAATTCTCCATATAGATGGCATACCCAATTCACAAGATATGGGAGATTACATATAACCTATCCTAAATCCAAGACATCCTCTGCTACTTTTTAATAACTAAAATTTTCATATCAGTTTGTTTAGCTGTCATTTATAGCTTTCTTATCAAGATCAAGTATAACAGAAATAAGATTCAGTGAGAATTCTGACTAGTTGGTTTTTCAAAGTTTTTTTTTCTGTATTTAACTATCAGACATGGAATAAGGACTCAGTTTTTACTTTATTAAAAAGCTCAAAACATGAACTGACCCTGGATAAGGCATAAACATAGGCCAACTTGCCTTGCAATAGAGGGTTGGAATGTGGACATACAGTCAGCCTTACCCATGACCCACCAAAAATGTTATATGTGATCTAATGGTAATATTTAATTGTTTTCTTCATACAGAGAGCAATGATGTGGGAAAATAAATAGGTCTTTTTGTACTCTTTTGCTGTACAGTGGGAGATGTTCTGATTCCTTTTATGACCTTAGGACCAAGTGTTCCAGATTGATGTATAAACTCAGATACTTTGAAACCATGTACCTGGTGCCTGGCCCAAGAGGAAATGGGTATTTGTGCAGTGCAAGCTCCAGCATTAATAATATTTACCTATGTTGACTTTGTACTGTTAAAGAACTCTTAGATCATCATAAAAGCAATGCTAACAAATATTCTCTATGGACTTTAAATGAAAAGCAGACTATCTAAAATCCGAGATTTCTGAGCAAAATTTCACTCTTCTATGAAATAGACTTTTGAAATTTGTTGTCCCTTTTTATTTGTCTTGAAAGTTTTATACTTTAAGTTCTAAATCCTAGAGCATTAGTTGGTTGTATTTTAAACAAATAGCTCTTACCCCTTTAAAACTAAGACCAAGGATTGAACCAGTCCAAAAATCATGTCAACACCAACCAGAAGTATTATTAAAATGGCTGTTGTATTTTTTTTTTCAATATAGTGAAGGAAAGTGTACCACTTCTGTTTGAGACTTAGCTAGAGTGACTATAAAGCAAGGTCCTGGTTCTGTTTGTAGCTTATAAAATCGATTCTCATAGTTTTTGTCTCACTACATATATAGGCAAGTGGAATTGTCCTCACTAATAGTTTTTTAAAAGTGACTTTAATTATAGCCATTGCAGAAATGAAAATAGTGTTTGTTGAATGGAAGGAATGAAAAAAAGAAGGAAGATAGGGAGGGAACAAGAGAAGAAGGAAGAAAAGATATTAATAGAAAGATGGATAAATATTTGTTGAATTGTAGAATAGACAGATTTTAAGTGATTCAGTACTGAAAATACCCCTTCCCTGTTTGCCCAAACTGGATAATAGAAGGGGTTTTTCTTTCTCTTTTTTTTTTTCAGTCCTCCAATAAATAAAATAACTGAAATAAAATAAACTGTCTGAACTGGCCATATTTTTGGTAGCAAAGCAAAAATGACCTTGGAAGATCTTTGTGGAAGTAGCAACCATGAAATGAGTGGAGAGCCTTAGAAAACACTTCAAAGTTTACAAATTTCTCAGTATTTTGAAATTAAGCAATTTCTAAAACCACTTAGAAATGGTTTGGCCTCATACACTTTTTGGTTGAGGGTCACCAGGAGAAATAGGATATGATCAGAATATTTTCTCTAAAATTGGAAAATTCTATCCAAAATATTTTCTCAGTTTTGCTCTTTAAGGGTAGATTACTGATCTAGAAGAGTTGTTACTTTTTTTCTGGAGAATTCTTTCCTTAATACTTCCTATTTCAGGCTATGTGAGTTCTGAAAGTGGATTAAAACATTTTCAAAATGAAAATATCTCTAAGTAGAAAATATCACTAAGTAAAAGGAGTTTCGGAAGTCGTATCTTTGGACCATCATCTCACACTGCTGTGAAGTGGCCTGATCACCAGGTTTATAGGTGTTGGATTCAAGAAACCATCTGTGTTTTAAATGTATAAAGACACATTCCTTCCAGCCAAGCCCTAGCCAATTAACTAATGGGTTTTCTTGCTTCTTCCAATCAGAATGAAGAGTCTTCGTCAACCCAGAGCCCAGACTAAATCTTCCCATGATGACATCGCAAAAGGTTTGATTTCTTTTAGAGCACGTGTACATGAAACATTCTGTGCCCACGGTAGTAGAATGAAGAGTTCAATCCCTGAAATAATTTCTAACTTTCCTGAGCAGATTCTCATTCTCATCCCTTTTTCTTTCATGTATTACCTTTTGACCTGCTGGGGTTGGTTCTCAGCCCTACCTTCACTCCAGCCTCACCCGTGCCTCCTCAGGCCTCACTCGTCCCTCCCTATCACTCCCTTCCCAGGCCCTCACGTGGCTCTGACCAATAATCCACCTGCTGAAATTTTCCATGGAGATGGGGCAGAAATGAGATGAACGTGCCTCCACAGGCAGTCCTGATGTACCGACCGACATGGGAAGGGAACTACATCTCCTCACCCTGGAATGGCCTCACCAAGGCCCTGAACCTTTCACCCCTCAGACTCCTTAACGTGCCTGCCTTCCTCCAGCCGCTGCCCGGTGCTATTCTTGTCTTCGCTTGCTGTTGACAGGAACAAGGAAAGCGGCTCTCTCCCAGGCTTCAGCCCTGACCTAAGTCTCGTTCTTCAGGGAACACTGGGCTGGTGACGGTGGTAGTGGGCCATCCTTTGGGGTGATATCATTCAAGGGTTTAGTGCTGCACAGTCTGTCACTTTAGTGACTTTCCATCTTCTCATTTGCTCCCATATTAACTGAAGCCACCTGAAATTTGTCATTCATTTGATACACACAGTAAGGAAAATTAAGATTATTTTCTTCACTTTATACAGATGGGGAAGACTAAGCTCTATCCTGGGAGGTTGCAGGGGAGCTACAGCCAGAACTGAACTGAGAAGGCATCTAGAAAGGAAACTTGAGGATAGAAGAGATGTGTTGAGGGGATGCCAAAAGAGAGTACCAGAGACTCGAGTAACAGCGGAGGTTTGGAGATATCCACTCGAGTGGGGCTGCCAGTCCCAGTGAATCACTTCTTATGTATTCAAAAATATTGGCTTCGTTCCTGGCTCTCATTTAGCCAAAGTGGAACCAAGAGCCTGGAGCTAAGAGAATCCACCTGATGAAAGCTCCTTCCTCTGCTGTTCTCTGGTCTGTGACCACCTTATTCACTTGAAGCCAAGACAACACTCGGTGATAGGCATGTGCCGTTGGTTTCAGGGTTATCTGTATTCATTCTGAGTTTCCCCTGGACCTGGATTTTTTCAGACCTGCCTTGCAAAGACTGAATCAACCACACACACCCACACATACTTTCTCTCTCTCTCACACATGCTTTTTCCTCAGCAAAAATATTTATTTTTTGATCCTATATGACAGCATACCACTATGCCTTTCACCAATTTACTAGCCCTGGGAGTGTACTTCTATTAGCAATTTAAGAGCTAGATGTGGTGTGCATAGAAACAGCACGTGATATTCTTGGATGACCCTGGTTCTTGCCCACACAGTCCATCCTAAGACAACAATCTTGGAGGTGGGACTGCAGGGAGAGTGGTTGTAAAACTGGCTAGGAGCTAAATTTTGGTAAATCTGTTGATTCCAGTTGTGACTCCTTTGAGCGGCCATTTGCTCTTGTGTGTGATCTCTGAGGTCATGGAAAAAGCACTAGCTTGGGAGCAATGAGATCTGGGTCTGAATCCTTGTCTTGCTGTATAGGCTTGGCCTCCATGTTCCCACCTGTGAAACCAGAGCAGTTGTTTTGTCTCACTGAGAACTAGACACTCAGCACAAGCAGCCTTCACCATTGACCAAGCCAGGAAAACTACTGATACAGCCCTAGCCCCGCTGGTTTCTATAGCTGAGACACGTCCATGCTGCAGTTCTTGTTCTTATTGCTGAAGCCACCACCCACCTGCGCTGTGTTCCCTGTGGACATGCTACAAATGCCAAATGGCTGATTCATCCCAGAGAACATTACTGCCAGTGATTGTTAACTCATCTTCTGGTCACAACAGTGATATCTACCATTTTTCAGGATTCAGCTAAACCTTACATATTATTAATAAACTTTAACAAGAACAAAATAAGCAGAAAGAACCTATCTCTACAAGTGATAGATCCTTCTGGGTTCGTGAATCTTTGGCCAGATCCCAGAATCTCATGACACCCCGAGGTTCCTGGTCTCAGTAGACATGGGAACAGATGCTAACCACCTGACTCGGGCCTTCCGCCTGGCACAGTGGTGGGAGATAGCACGAAGACCACTGGGTTAGGGTTAAGGATATCTGGGTTTTGGTCTTCAGTCCTTTAGTGCCGTAACCCCAGGCTGCTGTTTCCTCTTCATTACAGTCATGAGAGTAAACTGGGTTTGGATTTGAGACCTGGTAATGTCTCTAGCTCTCATTCAGCTGGACCTTGTTCTCTGGAGCTTGTTGCAGAGAATTCAGGGCTCCAGTGCCCTTAGTTATTCAGCAGTTCCCAATGGGAAGGCATTATTTCATGCAGTGATTTACTCTTCCTCAATCAGTATGTCTTTTGGCAAAATTGAACATTAACCAACTTTCTGTAAATCGAACCATATTTGAAGAGGAGGTCAGGATGGTAAGAGGTCATCAAGATGGTTTAAAGAACCCTAAAATAAATTATTTCACAAAGCACAGGTTTATTTTGAAATGAAGTACTTTCTCTCCCTACTCCAGCTTTTTCGTAAGATCACATTTGTTTATTTATTTTTTTAAAGAACAGAACTATATGTGTGTCCCTGAAAAATCTCCTGAGAATTTAATCCTCTTTTCCCTTTGATTCATATCACAACTCCAGACATGTTTTACTTCTATAATTTAATTGGCAATGACTTCTAATATGTGAGTTTTGTTTCCAGGTATTCCTTCTAGCCTCTTTGATGAGACGCATAAAAACTTAAATGTTATGTGGGATAAGATGATTTTATTTAAAAAAATTTCTTATGTGAATTTTGAATCTGTTTTATAAGGTTTGGTGGCCTTTGGTTATTGTGAGTTGCTTTAAGAACATAATCTGAGTAGCCCTTGTCCTTTCTTCTTTTGTGCACCATCCTCCAGAGAGTGTTCACTACAGACTGCCCATCCTGGGCCCCAGGACAGCTGCCTTCCATGGACTGCTGTCAGATGCCTACAAAACTCTGGAGGCGATGCAGCCTTCTTCCTTGCCCAAAAAGGAACCAATGGGCAAGAGATAGAGGAAGTGAGTAGTCAGAGCTCATCACTTTCTGGACCCCCAGACAGAAAACAACCCACCAAGCCACTCTCTGACTCTAGTACTTTCTCCTCCCCCTAAAAAGATGATTTAATTTTATGTTCCTAAGAGTTGCTGGCATTCTAGCTTTTGCCACCATCTTCTTACTCACTTCTCCTAAAGACAAACTGGTTTAAATTATATAAGGCTTTGTTGATTAAAATGGAACGTGGTGAGTGTCTCTCATTTTATTTTGTTAAGGGCTCTTATCCATGTTAAAATAGACAGCACACTTCTGTTTCTAAGACACAAATTTTTGGTGAAAGTTATCTCAGCTCTTCCTTCACAGCAGGGGCCAGAGATGGCTCCAGGGGGTCCCTCTGGAATTTAGCCTATTTAAGAATAAAGGAGGAGAAAGGGAGATCACACTCTGTCACTATCTCTGTCAGTTAACAGTAGTAGATGGCAGAAGATACTATGTCGCAATGACTGGAAATTGGCAAGGGATTAGTTGTTGTGACCCTCAAGCACAGGAACTGTGCCTTGCCTTGCCTTCCTCGCATCACCTCCTTCAGTGCCTTGCATATGTCAGATGTTCGGCTAATCCCTGCTCAGTCAAATCCATACCAAGTGCTTGTATTTTGTAGTTTGGCTACTTCAGTTTGAGGATATACGCCTCTAAATCTGTCCTGGTCCTCTAGATCTGTCCTGGTCCATGTGTCTGCAGTGTGAGAAAGACAAAAGAAAACTCAGGCTCTCAAATATTGTATTTATGGGCATATATGTTCCATGCTCAGCTTCAGAAGGGTTTATATTTTTTAAAAAGGCCACTTTTTCTGGTTCAAGCTGGTGTGTGGGGAAAAAACAAAAAGGCCCCCTTTGTTCCTTAGGAGACGACGGCCTTCTGGTATCCCAAGATCCTGACTTAAATGGACACTTACCCAACACATGAGAACCAGCCTCTATGCCAAGTGTATTTGATGAATGGACTTCAGAACTCTCAAACAAATGTTCTGGTGCCTAAACTGAACTCAGTTCTTACACAAAAACAAATAAACCCAAACAAACAAACTAACAAAAATAGAAAAACTTGCTTAGTTGCCCTATATTTTTGGTAGGCTATGTTTCTTGGTTTCAGAGAACTCCAAAAACAGTGCCCATGAATTCTGTTTCCATTTCAGATAATTGTTGAAGCACGGACACCTCACAGATAACAGTATTTTCTCCTCCCCCTCCTCCTCCTCCCCCTCCTTCTTCACAAATTAACAATCCAGTGAAAGATTGGAGTATACCTGTACCCATGCATTGGGGACAGGAGATACATGCTCCATGCACAATTATTTGGCAATTTTGAGACAATCTGAGTATGCTGTGGCTAGTGAGATAGAATGCTTCCTAAATCTCAAGATGGCCTCATCTAGAGTACTTGGACATTTGTAAAATCCATTAAAAATAATAATAAAAACATACTGGTGTTTACTTGTATGATGACAGAAAAGGATGGTCTATATCAGTGCTTCTTAATCATTTTGGTTTTAGAAACATTTTACTTAAATATTGAGAGCCCTAAAGAACTTTTAAAAATGCAGATTATATCTATTGATATTTATATTAGAAATTAAAATGGAGAAACGTTTTAAACACTTGCATTAGCTGTCAGAGTGATGACATTATCACATGTCATGTAGCCTCTGGAAAATTCTACTTAACTTGGAAGAGAAGAAGAAGAAGGTATTATGTGTATCAATAAAATAAATAAAATTTGTAAAAAGATTAAGAAAGGCAAATAACATCTTAGTATTGTTATGCAAGTAATTGTGACTCACAGGCACCCCGTAAGGGTCTCAGAGACTCTGAGGGGTCCCTAGTCTATAGTCTGAGAAGTTCTGGTCTACGTGATGTGCCCTTGCATCTCCAAACCTCCAGGGAAAGAGATGTCAAGATGTTTTAACTCACTCATCTGAATAATCTGGTCCCTTGGCAGAGATACTACAGAAGAGGCAATAGCAGGTTTTCAAAGTCTGATGATACTATAACAATTTTTAGCATCATTTAATTCCATTTGCTCAGATTGTCTGTTTAACAACTTTATAATCTTAATTTGGTTTCTCAAGTAGTGTCTCAGTACTATTAGAGCGGATTGACCAGTTTGCACAAGAAGTCTCGTTCCCTTTGCACTCTCATTTATGTATAGGAATGATTGTTAGTTTATTTGCTTTTGGTTAGTGTGAACTCACTTCCCAGAATCTGACATCTACACTTGGATGCGGTGTGGCCTCGGCACACTAGCGATGCCTGATCTGCAGCTTTGTTGGATAATTAGCCAGCTGCTGAATTTCCTTTCACTTTACTCCCACAACCAAATCCTGGAGAGTAATGGCACTACAGGAAGAATTTCCTAAATTGAGTAGCCCAACTCTAACATACCTCTCCACATGACTAACCCAATGCTATCATTTCAATTTAAACTTGCAAAGAGATTTGCATTTATGCTGCCTGATTTGTTTTTTTCTATCAGTATTAAAGTTTAACATAAATCATCTTATACCAAACTGTGCTTCTGTTTGTGCTGTGGGGGTCAAATGATTGGCTGTTATCCGTCTTGGCCCCGTCTTTCCCGCACTGAGTTGGATCCCTGAAGGTAATAATTTGAGCTCATTTGTTATTTTACCTACTGCATATTCTTTAGCATCATCCAAAATTCTCATAAATGAGCCAGAGCGCTTTCTTCACTATGATAATCTACGCATAATGTTACTCCTGATTCAAAGTCACATACGGTTAGGTTAATTTTGTAAAATGAATAATCTTGGATATTTTTTTTTGTCTGATTTGCTGTTAAAAAAAAAAAGACTTATTATAATACAAGTCCACAGACATGAGTCAGAAATACACCTACTCTTTCTTCTTCCTTCGCTCTAACAGGAAATTTAAAAACAAATCAATCTGCATAATTCCTTTACTGGCAGGAATGCAAAGAAATTCTGTATTTAGGAAAAGCCATGCTATACCTTTAAAAAAAGCCCAAGTATTTAATTCAAGGCCATTGTCACATCCAGTTTCCAGTTTAACCTTGGGAAATCCTACTCTCCACTGCCGTGTGTTCTGCTCAGCGTCACTCATATTTTCCCTTGCCCATGACTGTCATATCTTATGTGAGGCTTGTCAGGGCCTGTTGCATCCTGGGGGTAGGGCATCACACATTGGAGTGCCCATGGTCCTGAATATATCTAAGAGCCACACAACTCCAAGGAGCCTGGTGGCAACAAGTTTGTCAGAACTGCCTGTTTCCTCCCAAGGAAAGCCCTGTTTACAATGTCTTGTTAGGTGTAGTTACTTAGGTTGAGGGAGGTCTTGGTGATGAGGAAGGCATTACCCAACAGTGTATAGAAGATTTCCAAGAGGAGGAAAAATCATGGGCCTTGTTTCTATTACTAAACCTATAAACTAAATCTTGAGGAGTCAAGGTTAAACTAGAAAATTTATTATAGGAATGGATAAATTTTAACCTCTAGAGAAAACTAGATGATCAATCCTGTTTCAACCACGTCATTCTCAAAACCACCTTAATTCAGCACATTATTAAATACTGTCTGTGCTTCATATATATAATTCTTGTCTTTCTAGAAAAAAAAAATGCATAGCTTAATGAGGATAAGAACAATATCTCATGTTAACCCCCTAACCATGCAGGAGCTACCCAGCACATACTTGAGAGATATTTAGAATGAAACAAAGTTCATTCCTAAGCAATGAAGAAAAATAAAAAGAAAGAAAGGAACTAAGATCCCTGAATTTAGAGCTGTGAGTCTACAAAGGTTACAAAGGTTTTAGAAATTAGAACGCTGCCTCCTTTGAGGAACTTACAATTTTGATTGGAGAAACACACACACACACACACACACACACGAGCACATGTACAGAACAGTATGTGAATAAGCATGAGTTATTATGCAAACTGAACACCCAGTGATCACAGCAAACATGCCTTCCATATCACCAACCATACAGCTCTCTGGACAGGAACAAAGAGACCATTGTGTGACTGTCTCAGGAAAACTGGTCGGAGGGGAAAGAGCCATATTCACCCACACAGTGTGTCATCTCTCTTTCTTCATGAAGTTGTGGGCAAGATGTTTCACTGCCCGGCCAGTGAAGTGCAGAATATTGAAACCAGGAGCTGGCAGATAGCTTCTGTTTCAAGGAAAATTTGTTCCTAAACCTTTTGGGATTGTCCTCCACTCAGTCTGTGTAGTAGGCATCATCCTGTGGGGATATCACATAGCCAGAGAGTCAGGATACTCTTCCTAGATTCTCAGGTTGAGAAAAATGCATACACAGTAAGGTGTGCATAAAAACAAAATATTGTAATGTTAGTTGGCTCAGAGGGATGGATCTGAATGACTAAAGGACAGAGAAATTGCCCAAAAAAGAACGTTTTTCACAGTACACCCTTATTTGTTCTTTGAATTTTAAACTGCATGAATGTTTCAGAGACTCAAATCAGAGTCAAAGTTGCCAGAGGGCTAATCTAGGCGATAAACTATCAATAATTGTTTTCCTGACACTCAGACTACATCGTCCTTGAATACTACAAGGTTTAGGCAAGTGTCCAGTTCAAAGAATAAATTTTATCTCTGGCCTCTGAAAGTTTTGCCATTGAAATGGTAGCACTGGCAAATAGTAACAAAGTTTCATGCTTACGTCACATTTTAAACTTTTTCAAAACACTTTCACTTGTGTTTCCTCTCTCTTTGTATCTAATTTACCATTGTTCTCCTATGATTAAACAAAAGCAACAATGTTTCACACAATTCTATCCATTAAAAATGTAGCTCTTCCCTATGGCACTTCTACAAACATTCTTTATTTTAACAAAACAAGGACACCTGGTTCTTTTTTAAGGCACTGCCTGCATGGAACTAATCCCTCTTGCATGAAATCCTTGATATATTTGATAGCATGGACCTTTAGTTTTTTATTTTTTAAACTTAAGATCCCTGGTTCTTTGGCCAATATGGCATGGCCCAGTCATCCTTTCTAGATCTATCCCAGTGCTACTAAAAATGTAGTACCTGACTGGGTGCAGTGGCTCATGCCTGTAATCCTAGCACTTGGGGAGGCCGGGGTGGGAGGATCACTTGAGGCCAGGAGTTCAAGACTAGCCTGAGCAATATAGCAAGACCCTGTCTCTACCAAAACAAAACAATCAATCAATCAATCAATCAAACAAACAAACAAACAAAAAC